TAACCAGAGGAAAAGAAGTATGTATGTTTCACACTATCCACAATGAAATCTGCAACAGTCTATCTAGTACCAAATAAAAGCTAAAAAATAAAATAGATTATCTGTTCTAAATACTCTAGAGCAAGTAAATATTAGTATTTCCCCTTGATTGAAAATGTTCAGGCTTCTCAGTATTCTGTATTAATTTAAAATATTTTATTCATCTTTCCTGTCTTATAAGGTATTTCTAGTTATAAATGAACTTCATAGTTAAAACTTACATCTTAGTGTAAAAAGCATCAATTCTCTTTGCTATTCCAATACAGCAACAAATTGTATCTTTCCAATGCCTGAGTTTTGTTTTTTTACTGTATCCATATGGAATCACTCTAAAATTCCTTTTTACTTTTTTATTATAGTTTAACATATAGCAGTTTCTTAGAGCAGTATTTAAAGATGTCAAAGTAATAATAAAGGACTTATTATAACTTAATTTTATTCTCTAATTTGAAATAAAGTCTTATGAATGAACTGATATGAAAGAAATTCTCTCTAATCTTGAGTGAGATATGTCTAAGACATTTTATTGAACAAATGATCTAAAAATGTTTAACTTTTTCCATATGAACATCCTTTAAAAATTACATTTCAGTTAAATATTAAGCACCAATTTCATTGCAATGCACAATGGTAGATAGGGAGCAAAGATAAATTAGACCTACTTACACACAAAAAATACACAACAGAAATAAAAATGAAAGAGGAAAAAAATTAGAAAGGAATACCTAAAAACAGCATCCCAATTCAAGTATTTGCCTTGTTTGGAATCTGAATGCCGATCTAAATGTTGAATGGTTTCAGGATCCTGAATCAGGCGCTTAAATTTCTCAACCTCTTTCTGAAAATGAAAAAAAACAAACAAAAAAACCAAAAAAAAAAATAATGAGTTACAGATCACACACTTCTTTCAAGAAAAGATTAAATTTAAGTAATTTACTACCCTTCGTTCTGTAGCTCTATCATGCTCTAGTTGACGGCAGCAAATAAGCAGATCATTAAGTGCTAGACTCATGGTTCAGAATTTCAGAAACACATCATTGTCTGTAAAAAAAAAAAAAAAAAAAAAGGAAAATTATCTCAGACTGTGGTATTAACATATAGTTAGATCTAAACATATAACCAGAGGTATACTGTAATGTACAATGATTTTTCTTAATATTTCCAAAATATTAACAGAACATATCAAAACAAAGCTTTAACATTCAAAATATCAACTACACAAGTTCAAATGGGAGATATGCGGCTCAATAGGGAAAAGAAGAACTTGGAATTTTTTTTTCTAAATCAACAAATGTGTGTTGAATGTGTTGCAGGATAAAAGTAAAAAATGCATAATTTATTTTATTGTTCTGAGATCTCTTCTAAGAAATATAACTTTTTTATTGTGTTTTTTTTTAAACTGAAGTATAGTCAGTTTACAATGTTGTGTTATTTTCTGGTGTACAGCATAGTGATTCAGTTAAACATTATATATATTCCTTTTCATATTCTTTTTCTTTATAGGCTATTAGAAGGTATAGTTCCCTAGCTATACAGTAGGACACTGTTGGTTGTCTACTTTATATACAGCAGTTAGTATCTGCAAATCCTAAACTCCCAGTTTACCACTTCCCACCCCTTTCCCCCTCTGGTAATCATAAGTTTGTTTTCTATGTCTGTGTATCTGGCTCTGTTTTGTAGATAAGTTCATTTGTGTCTAATTTATTTAGATTCCACATTTAAGTGATATCATATGGTATTTTTCTTTCTCTTTCTAGCTCAGCTTCACTTAGTATGACAATCTCCATGTCCGTCTAGAAACATGACATTTAAATTGAAACACAAAAGATGAATAGAACACAGCCAGGCAAAGAATAAGGAAAAGAGCACTTCAGGATGTAACACTGACTGAACTATTTAAATGCAACCTTTCTTATATGTAGTGACTTGTCATTTTGCTGAACCAAAAACTTAAATTGCTTATGATTTAGAACTGATATGCAGGAGGTTATCAGAGCTAGTAAGCCTTGCCTAGCACTTACATCTCAACTGAATTCATGGTTCTCACTTAATATACGAAAGTCCGAGGAAAATGATACTGTTATAAAAAGAGATGAAGGAAATTGTATGCTATAGTGATATCCCTTGCAAATGTCAAACATCCACTATATTTTCTTACTCCTTAATGCCATTACACTAGCCCTCCTCCTTTTAGGTTTTCTGATATAATTACACCTTCCTTTGATAATTTTTTTTAAATCTTTCAAGGAAAGCATTTTGTGTTAGTATTTCTGAGTCTTTTCACCAAAAAAGCTTCGTTACTATAAACGTTTATAAACGGTATACATATGTATGTCTACTATAACTACACTACATATGTATCTCAGGAGGAAAAACGGTGAGCAAAGTCCTTTTCCCACCCATCCACATAAATTCTACTCAGTCTTTCAAAATCAAGTATGTTTCTCTGCCCCTGCTCAATCTCACAGAATCTTAAAATTGGGTGGAACTGAGAGACCACGTGCCAGCTTCCTACAAAGGGAGAAATCTCTGCTGCAAAATTATAGCCCTCTCTTTAAACACTCTCAGAACAAACTACCTAATAAGACTACCTATTTTATTGGCAGATAGCTCTAATTCTCTTCCCCATTTATATTCAATAGTTATTCTAACTGCTTTATTCCTCTCACACCCTCCTTTACTATGCTGTAAAATACAGGTTGTTATTTGCCTGGTAGCCTTTCTCATCCCATTGTATACCTCTTGAAGGCAAAGACCATCGTTTTCATTTTCCCATTCCTTATAGTTTTACCTAAGACTCCTCCCTCCTGGCTCAATCTTAGTTTAAAGCCCTCTTGAGTCAATAAGGAAAATAAAGTTGGGATTCTAACCAGTGAAAACACCTTAGCAATGATCCAAAGATCCATAAAAGCTGGCACCTTTATCCCTAAATATGTTATCTATAACGTGGAAAAAGATGCATGTTTACTAAACTTGTGACACTTCGAGAAGTGTTAGCCCTAAACGTTTTTTTTAAGCTGTGGCTTTTCTTAACTTGCTTTTCCTCCTATCCGTTTCTCAGAGATTGATTACTTTCAAGAAAATAAAACAATTCAGCATTACCTACATAAACAGGAAATGTTCATTCACTGATCCATACAGCAGTACTCACTGGGCAGCTACTGTGTTCGAGGTACTCTGTTAGGGGTAGGAAGACCTAATCCTACCCTCATGGAGTCA